GTTTTAAATCTACTTTCGTTTTGCTTGAAACCATATGGTTGTAAAATTTAGGACGAAGATTACTTCCTTGGCATATTCGCCGAGCAAGCTAAAACTTCTGTCCGCCGACGAAAGCGGTTGCGTGGTGTGTTGGGACATGAATATTCAGAGACAAGAGGTTTTCTTTAGTTATTTAGTTTCAACATGGCTGGTTCGAAAACCGTTTGTTTTCGCAGACTCCAGAATGGAAGACCAGTAACGTATGTCAGTGCTGCGGGGACCCGTTTTTCTGGAACATGAAAGACATGTGGAACAAGAAAACCGTCGGCCTCAGACAAGTATGATTGAGAGTATGCACATATTAACGATCACTCGTCACTGTTTGGGTGCATTTAAGCATCACTGTCGTATCTGTGGCAAAGCGGTGTGCGACAAGTGCTCACAGAATCGTATAAGATATCCGCCCATGGGCTATGAGCTGGCGGTACGAATCTGTATCGGTTGTTTTCGTGAATACGGCAGTCGAACGTAAGTTCGTCTTGTTTTTTGTTGTTGAAAGAAACCCGCACTCAGTGTTGTGTAAACTCAGATTTTTCCAGTATGTTCAGTGTTGGTATGAATTCATCGCCAGAATCTTCAAAGGATTATGTACTCTGCGTATAAATTTTATTTAAGCAGAATCTCAACGTTTCTAATTCAGCTGTATCCTGTCATCAGGGGACGTTGTGTAGCAACGCCTGAAGAGAAGTTAATTGGCTAACTGCAGAGCTGCAGTTTAAGAGCATTTTCAGACTTCCGGAAATAGTTTAATAACAGATACCGTTTACCTAAAATCCACAAGTTGAACAGTTTTTTGAGGCTCACTGTCTCCTGTCGAAATCGGAATAACATTCAGTCGTTCATTTCAGACTGTAGCGTTTCACACATTACAGGAAGTTTGAAATTACATTTTAGGATATGCCCCTACCCTCCGTGTTTCAACTTCTTGTCTGATCTGTTGCCATTTCAGCTTCAAGTCACTCGCAAAATTTTTCGACGCGAAACATCGAATATTTGGAATACACTTCAACGACACCGAAGACTACCTTTTGACTGCCGGCACCAATTCCGTTGACGTAAGCAGATGAATATGCTTCTTGCAATATGAAGGAATTGCTGATTCATGTTCGTGAGGTTTAAATAAACGTTACGTGAAGTTGCTCAGGATGAGCCTTTCGATTGATTGAAAATATGCCTTGATTTTGACAGTTCGATCAAACTATGGTGCAATTTAAGCGCATTTGATCCCTCATGTTTCGGCTCAACTGAATGAAGATGAATAACGGGCTGATACTCTAGGGAAACATGAAACGGAGAGAAACGTTACTGCGATAGGTTCAGATTGGAGGTTACCGCGGTTTCAGCTAGACGGCTGATTTTAGACAGTTCCGCTACGACCATATTATGATCAGATCCATTGCAGAGGCCACGCCTGACGCGAGTGTCGAGTGACGAACTGCGACATTTCCGGTTGATGAGGACCTGATCCCGCTGGTTGTTTAGGCTTTCATCTGGGGATGTCCATGTGGTTTGGTGAATACGCTTATAAGAAAAAATGGTTCCGCCCCACGATTAAGATGTTTGTAGCGCCAAAGCTTAACAGAGACGCCAGCCGTTGTCATTCGCGTTGTCAATACCGTGACGGTCGAATGCACCTCGCTGTGCTGCACTCGTCGTCCACCTTCGCGTTGAGGTTGCCTGTGACAGTGGTGAACGTATGACACGTTAAAGCGCTAACTCAGCCGACTGCAGGCAGTTATCGAAAGCGTCGTTGCCACTGTCACGCGACACATTTGTCAAGGCATAGGCGACATGGACATTCATCGTTGCCTTTTTGACATTCACGCAACAGACCAGGATTCTTTCCGGTATCTGTTCTGCCGAAATGACTGCTCGGCTTATCTTAGGGGACTAAAGGATAGCCCTACCGTCACAGCGTAATCTACTCTTGCTTGACTACCAAAATTACCGCCCATCCTACAAGTCAAGAGTCCCCGTCCCCCGGACTTTCCAACATGCAACACCGATCTTGCCTCTTGTAGTGTTGTTTGTCAAAGTCACGGATTTCCTGGTTCCTAGTTGTCTGATCAGTTGTGAGCGGAAATCACTCGCTAAGAAATCAGCCTGACTACTGTGGTGACAGCATGGTGTTGTATCAGTGACAGTATGATTGCATGGTGTTTAGGTATGGCCAGTTCGGTAGTGCGCAATTTTGGACGATATTTTTGTCTGTCCATCTTAGATTTAGGACCACGTATTCCGATGCGTGTTTATTCACTCAATATGTACTCTTTAGCTGATTTGGTCAGCACTGATTGCGATGTGGTCAATTTAAAAATAAAATCGCACTGCTTGGTGTGTATGCTTACAGTAAGACCCGTAGCATTTTGCCCGGTTGATGGCTGACTGTTTTAAATGAGTTT